AAACTGACAGTTCTCGGAACATTACGCAAGAATAAGAAAGAAATCCCAAAGCAGCTATTGGAAACTAAGGGAAAAAATGTAGATTCGTCCATGTTTGTGTTTGATGACAAAACTACAATGGTTTCATACATACCGAAAAAAAATGCTGTCAACGATGCACACGCAAGGCGACGTAGAGGAGCAAACTAAGAAGCCACAAATGATTCTTGCATACAACAGTACCAAGGGAGGTGTATACAGGGTGACTTTGAAGTTGAGTCATTAATTTTCAGATAGTGATTGTAGAAGGAAGATAAACCAAAATATGTGTGTAAAAATAAAAAAAACTTTACCTTGTTTTATAAAGTATCCTCCCGACAAGTATTTCAGTGCGGACCTGAATTTGATCGTGCGGTCTTGGAGCACCGGCATGCCCTCCCCTGTGAGGTCTTAAGTCACCTGATTCACGAGCCCTTTGTACTACATTAACAAAGGCACGAAGGGTTGGTTGCACTCGATTGGGAAACCGATTTTGTAAAGACTCCCCCCCCCCCCCCGTAAATAAGAATCATGTCCACAAGTTCAGCATTTTCGTAAACATGTGCCATTTTTTATTTCGTTTGAACCACGCAACAAATACCACTATTCACTCACGCGTTACCGACTGAATACAACTGAAAACATCGTGATAAGCGTTTCAAATTCTTTCGCTTTTTTGTTTCCGACGCGATGAACCGATGCGGATTATATCCGTTGTTGCCAAACACGAGCACATAATATTATTATTGAGACAGGGCGGTACTCAAACTTCTAAAGGGCTATAACTTTGTTACTTTAATTTTACCAGAAAAATGTTAAAGGAAAAAAACATTTCTTTTGATCAGATCTACTCAGTGTTAAAATAAATGACTCAACTTCGAAGTTACCCTGTATACATTTGATCAGCTATGCCATAATTCGACGGTATCTAGAAAAACACGGAGATGGCCTCTTAGAATTTTCTATGGAATGGTTGATATTGCAGGCGTCAACTCTTTTCTTATATTTAGATGGAATCTACCTGTTCAAAAGGAAACGTCGGTAAAACGCTCAAATTTTCTGAAAAATCTAGCATTTACTCTAGTACAACCATATCTAAAAGAGAGAATGTATAATGTTTATCTACCAAGAGAACTAAAAAGTACCATAAGGAATATTTTAAAATGCGATGAGCAAGAAGTCAAGCCCAGAACGGCTCCCAACGTTGAAGTCACTGGTCGTTGCGATTTTTGCCCTCGAAAGAAAAACCGAAAATCTCGAAGCATTTGTGAGCAATGTAAAAAACAAATTTGTGCGGAACATCGCCTGACCCGTATTTTTTGCCCTAACTGTAAAGAAATATCTTAGACTAATTTATGTACCCATTATATATCGTTACCTTTATTTTTTAATAATCATGTGTTTTTGTTAAATAACTAATACTACACTATGTATTTGTTCTTAATTTGACAATAAACTAAATTTATCAATTATCTATTTAGTTATTATTCCCTAAATTTGTAGAACAAAAAGCTATATACATTTTTTATTACAGTGTCGCATTTGACGCCAAGTTGTTATTTACGTATTGAAAGAAAACGTTGTGGTTCTAGGGTTAAAATTGTCTGGTTTCTGGGTTATCAGACCTGACAGACTTACCAACTGATACTGTGACTCAAGAGCTAAAGTCCCACGGACCGCTCTGACAACCAACGATGACTTTAGAAAGGTTCCTGAGATAGCAATGACCAAAGCCAAAAGCGTCCTTTTCATTTAAAAAATGTAGAAGTATTTGTATTCTTTTTTTTTCCAAATTTTTCCTGGGATTGCGTGGATCCTGCAGTTTTAAAGATACTTTATCTATGAGATCCAAAGGTTTAACACACTGCTCTCAGAACCTCAGTATGTCCATTCGTTTACTAGCTAATCGACGTTCTTAATGTTTATTTAATCCCTTAATTTTTTCTATTAGTACATTATAATACTCGTATCTAATAAAAATCCAAACGATCTAGTAACAGTGCCTATAGAGGTTTTCACGACTTATCGCCGCGGGCACGCAACTCGTCATTAGCTAGTACGGGCACAGATGTGAAAACTTTTCGTGTCATTGACTGTCATTCCGGCCGACTAAGTTTGGTGAAAAGCTCTCGTGTATCCGTGCGTGCAGCAGGTCGTCCTATCAAATATCCTATCCACGTGTGTACAGGAAAACCTTCAGAAAAAAGTTCTAATGAGGCTTTGAGGAGCAGCTTTAGGGGACACGTAGAGGAAGTGAAAATTAGGATGATTAGTGTTGGAAGGTATAGGTTGTTAAAACACTTTGCTGGTTGTGGGGACAAAAAGGTGACTTTCCGTATAAACGTCAATATAGAAAAAACCATACAGCATGGTTACAATTAAATGAACCGTTTTTAGAAAAAGTCCTGTTCAGATACTGTTTCTATTAACATAATTTGCACCGCAGCCAGTCGTTAATAGATCTGGCTTACATCTAAATCAAGGGCTCGGAAAGCCAGGTAGCCCGGGCTTTTCTGAATTCCTAATCACAAATCCATTTTCAGAATTACTACAGATCTAGAGTGACGCAACCAATGCGATGCCAAACCTAACAGAACTGTAAAGAAACAAAGACGTTTGATTTTATCAATGGAAAGCACAAGTACACTTTTCCAGCTTGAAGATCAAGCTTTCCGAAACTGTCAGGTCATTATAATGAAAAATTCTTAACAATATTATGTTACGTCGGGGTTAGTCCCATTCCTGATGATACAAATGAATGATTTTCCCTGGAGGCCCTAATTAATTGCTAAGCTGTCTGAATTTCATGGTTCATAAGTTATTTACAGTAGCGTCTTTCTGGAAGTATTTTTTTTCCTGATTTATGTGTATGTGAAAGATCCTAGAGAGTATAATAGTTGCCTGCTATTCCAGCATTTGCCTTTAATTAATAATTTCATACACGGCGAAGCCAAGCCTTAAACGCGTATATGGACATATTCAACAGCTGTTTGGTAAATCTATAGGATTAGTAGCGTGAAATTGATTAGGAGTTGTTGCGGGATAGTGTTATTTGCAATAAAAGGAATTCAGTATTTCCACTGTCAGGTATATGGCTGGTCTTCGTTTGTCTCCTCATTATTGCTAAGATCTCTCATTTGCCTTGATGCTTCAAAGTGACAGGGGATTGGTCAAATACATTCTGTGAAGAAAAAGAAAACCGTCTATTCCAATCTGTACAAGACAAATAAGGCGTTCTCACAATATAGAGCACTGGGCCGCAAAGATATGCCTTTCAGAAGTTTTATTCGCGTTTTCAAGTACGGAGACACAGCTAAACTGGCGAACTTCTGTTGACAGCGCGCCAGTGTTTGAATGTTTGAAGAAATTAATTCCTCCACCATATCCTGTACTGGGGTATATTTGCTACAGTTTATTAAAGTTTGCATATACCTATTTGATAGCAGGCTTTGTTTTGCACAATATGTTAAATGAGGGAAAAATATTGTTTTGTAGACCACCCTTCTACACAAGAAACATGGTTTCTCCGAAATTCGACGAATGTACTCGATTTTTTCTTTTCATAATTCAAATATCTAGAGCTCCCTCAATTTTCACATAAGATTTATATCTACTAACTTCTTGCAATACTTTTGGAATGTATTACCATACACACCGTGTTTTCAGATTCTATTTTATCTCGTTCCTTTTTAACCATTTTATGAGACTAGGTACCTATTTTGCTATATCTACAATTTCATTATTTACTGAAGCTTTAACCGAAATAACAGTATCATCTGCAAAGAAATTTATAATGATCTAACTATTTCAAAGTTTACTTGCAATTTTCTTAACTTTTCCGATTCGTCATCATTCAACCACGAGAGAGTTATACCTGAAATTCCATTCAATCAAAATTTTCTCAGAAATATTTTTCAATTATCTCAAATGTTATTTGTAAGATCTACAGGCACAAAAACGATCACATTAGTGACAACTATTTCTTTTTTACACTTTGAATATATAAACTGCATGCTGTTGTATACTAATGGTTCCTTCTGCTGCCCTAATTGCCTTGGATGTTAGCGAATCTGTCCTATTATTATTTCATTAATCTTCTAAATGCTTGACACCGAATTCTGGTCCTCTTGGATTTTTGTGTTTGGTAGGGTAAGTCCGGGAGAGATCGACCACATTTTGGAAAAAATATTGTAAATATTTTGGTTTCTGAGGTACACGTTTTTTTAACTGTTTGAACTAAAAGTTTAAACATTGAAACTGGACGATCTCACCCGGATGTCCGGGTTAGACCGACCACCAACTACGGGTGAGATCGACTTCGAAAAATGAGAAAAGATAGAATAATAAAACATGTTTGAACAGTATAATAATAAGGGTAGAATTAAATCGTATAAATACATTTAATTTTTTCGACTTCTCTTGTTAAATTTTCCGCATATATCGCAAATATTCTCGAATTTTGAGCATCCATTATGAAACCAACGACTACAGTTCACACATTTGAGCCATTCGTCATTCTTAGTGGTTTTAAAATAATTTTTCCCACATCCTACGCATTCGTTTTCGTCCCATTCATCTGCTGATGAATCACTTTCCTGCAATACTGGACTTTCGCTCTCCGAATCTGAATCTTCTAATGTTTTTTTCTGTTTAACCACAGTTTTTTTCTGAATTGGACATTTGTTTTTTTCTTTGTTTTTTTTTATCCTTCTGAATCTCAATTCGTTATGAACTGTTTAAAATAGTTGCAAGCTGCCTACCTCGTGTTTTGACCACTGCTTTTGCGTTAGTTTTGGGAACAAGTGGGAACAGTGAGAACATTTTCTAAAATAGTGTTTCACAAACAGACGGTCATTCCGGTCGCTCTGTTAATAGAAATTCCTTCGGCTTTTCTAATCGATATATCAGGATGTCGACGTAAAAACGATCATAACTGGCCTTGCCCCTTTCTTTATTAAATGTGTGCTTCAGTTTTAATTTTTCTACAAGTTGAAAAGCCCATATTCTGACGGATTCCTGATCTGGTGCAAATCCAAATGTTTGCAATTTTTTATGTGTCGCACCAATTTTAGTTCTGAATCTTCTCCCAACGCTGATGACAGACCTAATCTGTGTTGTTTTATTGCGTCCTCCTTCTTAATCCTATCTTTTAGCGTTGTTTTAGGTATTCCAAATTGTCTGGCGGCTTCATTTACATCCATTGTACGATTTTGTACACATTCAATTGCGTTTCTTAAAGAACCGGCACTCCATTTAGCTGTCTCTTCATTTTTCCTTTTGTAAGTCGTGGGCATTTTTGTTAATCTGTAACAATATTATTTTACAATAAATTTATTTTTTCAAATTGGGCTTTATTGTATCACTAATTTCCTTCAGACCGCCGAATATTTCATTAATACTATTATTATTTCCATGGTCGGTCTCTCCCGGATTGATGTGGTCGTACTCTACCAAAGTTACGGGAGAGATCGACCACCTTGTTAACCGAAGGAAAAATGATAAATTCCTACATTTTTGGGGTTATGTTATAGTTTGATGCATATTTTATCATCCAGTATTGAAACAGTTCAATTAAACTTACCCGTCTTTAAAATATCACGAACACAGTAAATCAGTCAAAAAATTGTCAAGTTTGCACAAATTTTTAAATTTAATTTGTACATTTATACTACTGTTACGGGGCGTGTTTACGTGTTCCATGTAACAAGGTCAACTAATCGCATCATACATGTGAGTCACGGATTCATCTATTGCTTTGTGGTTAAGTTACCGGCAGTGGTCGGTCTCTCCCGGTGGTCGATCTCTACCGGAATTACCCTACCAGATACTTCACAACAATGTTTCCTGTTCCAAAGGCCAGATAGATAGACTTTCTATTTGAACTTCTGCAATTAGAGACTTTTTTAAAGCATATTCAACAGCGCTGGAGTGACGTTACAAGAAAACCCCACAACAGAGATATCTTCAGGTGTCCGATTTACTTCCATCGTAATATCCACATAATATGTAGATGCATAGATAATGTAGCTATAAACATACTGTATTATATATTATGACCAAATGGCTGGGTATGAGGCATGCTGTTTTACTCGCATCTCGATAATATACACGTAGACCTTACGTAATGTGCACAGATAAAGCGCATAAGGAAGTAAAGTTGGCACTCAAAATTATGACTGAACAGCAAAATATTTACCTGTAACGGTGGCGGCAGATCTCTTGTTGTAATTAAGATATATCTTGCTATTTTGATCCTGTGCATGGATTAAAATGTACAAGCGAGGTCTTGATGATAGCCGCGAATGAACGTCACTGCACACGTTTTAACGATAAGATGGATTTCCGGCACAAATCATCCTAGATGTAATTAGTCATTTGAATAATCACTGACCCAAGTTTCTGCCGGCTTAGTTTCTCCTGTATTTGCTCTGATGCATGTTTATCTCAGAAATGCGCACTCTGATTCACATAATGTATAACATCATTGACATATTATGTAAACTAATGAATTTGATGGCATATTCGTTCACTAACTTGAAACCACTATCGGTTTTGAGGAACGAAAATGAAGTTTCTGTCATTGCAACAGGATCTACACTATGGTTTTCTGAACACCTGATAGACTGTAAAGGAGGAAAATTCGGTTGAGAAGGATGTAGCGAAAGCTGAGAAACTGGCGCGTCTAAGGGGTTGCAGATTGGTTACCTGCGTAACATATTACAAAAATGATACTAGGAATATAGTGGTGGCATACTATAATAATAGTGTGATGTCCTAGTATAACTAGAACTCTGGGTATCAGCAGGAATCGCCCAGAAGATTCAGCAGGTGTCCAGAAACATCACTTATGCACTTGCAGGTCCTGAAAGCATTTACGGCTATCGAAGAGCATCAATCGATGTCTGGATAACTTTTTAATCGATTGGTGTTGAATGCCCGACCAGATGGCAGAAGCCGACATAGTCAACTGACAGAGTCTGATCAATCACAAGCTATAGTTCAGTCAACATGGTTATAACATTGTAATAAATTAGTTGCAAGTATTGTGATAAATTAGTGTAAGAGTGATAAATTAGACTTTGAACAGTGAAACCGGTCTTGTTACAGTAATATGAAAATCATGAATTATACCAGCTTTGACTGTCATTTTTTAGATGGGATGAACTTTAAATACAACAAATGATTTATAGGCGTTAATATAATAATCGTTGGTCGTCCAGTCAAACCGTGAGGAAAACTATGTACTTCTGAACAGCCCAAAATAACCAGTGTATAGTTTTTTCACGGGTACTTCACAATGTCATTCGAAATAAGTAAACAGATTGACTAACTGTAAAATGTGCGGAGGAACAATGTGCACTGCGAAAGCCGATCCTGCTAGCTGCTACTCTCTCTTGCACATACAGTTTGGATGAGACAGGACCGTTTTTTTCATTCATTTCAGGAAAACACACCAAGACATATAACAGAGCCTATCAACACTGTAGTTGTGTCAACAAACGGTAAACTAAAGCTAAGCAAGCAAGCTGTCATAGTGACAGTGACAAATATAACAAATGTGAAAGACTCGTACGTTGGCGCGTGCATTTTCATGGCAGTGAGACAAAAACTAATAAACGTACTCGGATATATCTGTAAGCTTATAAAGGGTGGGTCATCGGTTGGTTTCTTTTACAAATTGGTATTAAAACTACACTATTCAATAATTTGTAACAGTCGATACTTTATTCAAAAGAATACACCTTCCGCTTATTTATGAAAAACAATTTTAGTCAAATGGCTGCCATGGCTGGCTGGCATCATCTTAACCCAATTTTGAAGCACATTTTGATAGTTTGTGGGTCTATTTCATCAGTAGCTCGACGGATATGTTCCTTAAGAACATCAGTTCGTTGAGGATCGATAGTGTCCTTAACAGTATCCCATAGGAGGTAATCCATGGGCGCCAAATCACAGCTGCGGGTTGGCCAATGAACGTCTCCAACACGGCTGATAACTCGATGACCGAATTTAGTGTGTAAAAGATCGATTGTTTCACGTGGTGTGGCATGATGCGCCTCCTGCTGGAACCAGAGATTGTGCAAGTGCATGCCATCTTATAGTGGCCACAAAAAACTCCTCAACATCTCTCTATAGCGTTCCTCGTTCACCGTCACGCTGTTAGCATCTTCATCTTGAAAAACGTAAGGGCCAATAGCCACACCAAACAGTTACTCTTTTTGGCCGCATTGGTTTTTCTATGACATGTGGATTTTCAGAACCAAAAATCCTACAGTTCTGCTTGTTAACGTAACCTCCCAGATGGGAATGGGCTTCGTCCGAAAAGATGATTTGGCGAAAAAAATTGACGTGCGTTTCCAATTGGTTTAGACCCCACACACAAAAACGATATCGAAGCGGATGGCCATTTTGTTTCTTGCACAAGCTGTACCTTGTAAGGAAATAATATCAGGTCTATATGCAATATTCTCCGCACATAAATGTGACTGATGCTCACTTGTGGTCTGTGAAGAATTGACACTCGTCTGTACGTATGCGTCGAACACGTACATACCTTCTGTTATCCACAAGCAGGCCAGTTTCACGAACTACACGAATTTTCGTATACCAGTCGCGGACGGTGCTTCATTCCTACCAAATAGTCTTCTCAATTTTCCACAAGTTTCTGCAATCCAGCCACTCACTTTGAAAACAGTTTTTCAATATTTCCCACCTTTGTTCAAGATTAAAACGTTTCATTACTCACAGCGGAAGTTTGACACAATATATCTGTCAATATGTTGAGCATGGAAGTGTTACCAACTTTCAAAATAATATCAACTTAAAAAAACAACTGATGGACCACTCTATACAAACGAAAGTCCGCGCATAGAAGTTGATTGAATATTAATGTGCAAGGGGTATGGATGTATCAAAGTAACAACACATCATCAAGCGCTGGCCAACAATATTTTTAAAGGACACAAAATGTATCACACTCTGGAGCATTGAGGGCACTACCATAATGATGAATACTAAATTTGTTTCATGGTAATATGGCTCGTTTCGCAGCCCGGCATCGTTAACGTGAAATTTTTATAAATTTAGTATTAACTTAGAATGTCGTTAGTTCCTATTCTTTTTGATAGCATCGGTAAACATAGATTTAACTGCTTATACTACCAGTTATAGCTAACGTGGTTGTCAGACCTACCTTTGCTCTGGATATATGATCATATATGCAAACATTAAGAGAATTATGAATAGAATAGTATAGGACATGAGCTAAACTTCAAAAATGTGTTATTTATATATCGGCACAACCTGCGCAAGCCAATATCGAGCTGGTCGTACGCTTTACGCACTGCACTCGGCTGCTTGCCGCCGAAAATAGTTATTTTCAAATGTCAGAACCGCTGATTTTCAGTCATTCAATTTCATAAAGTTGCTCTAAAGATACAGCAAATAGGTTCTATCCCAGCTACTCAGTCTTAAGACACGTGAATTGCATAGAACTCGCTAGTCAATTTTTATGTATGAGACATTCCAGTTGACAGAATCTATCTAGACTGTCAGGCAGATAGCTCGACGCTTTCGGGTTCTATGTGTAGCCCTTTTAAGCGTTCTACGTTAACTTCATAAGAAATGAGTAAACATATTAGCTGATGTGCGTAGCTTAATTTGCACGCTGCTCGGTCTTGCACATACACATGAATTGTTTTGTTGTTATTACTCACACAGATGGTCGACATTGTACTTGTATCTCTTGTATCTTAAGACACTACTATGATTTATACTAAGTGACATATAAATCCGAACACCCAGTTTAAATGGTTTTATTTTAATAAAAGTTGGTGAATGTATTTATCTTACTGTAAATAACAAATGAAAAAATGTTCATCCTTATCAGTTGGACATTCCGGTTTTTATACTGCTTTTTTTTAATTCACTAACGCCCTAAAAATGAATATTCAGCCGCAGTAAAGAATCAACGTTGGCGGATTTTGGTTCTTTACATCCTTTACGATCGGTTACGATGCCTAGAGTACGGAGACCTGTACGATTTCGTCGAGTTTAATAGGGACCTTATAGTGGGACTTCGGGAAGCTGGACTTTCTTTTCGGGCAATAGCAGTTAGAGTGCAAAGAAGTGTAGACACTGTGGTTAGGTGTTGTCAGGCATGGCTTCGAGAAGGCCGTACGCAAAGAGCAAGGGGCACTGGACGCCGCCGTAGAACAACAGACCGTGAAGATCGCCGCCTAAGATTATTGGCCTTAAGGGACCGTTTCTCCACTACCAGGTCCATTGCAAATGA